GATCAATGAGGATCTGAGAACTGGTGGTAAACGCCTTGGCAGCCATCTCTTTCAGCTCCTCGTCATCGGCCGCAAATCCAGATCCCAAACCTCCCAAGGCATAGGCGGCTCGAATCAAAACGGGGTATCCAATCTTGTTGGCAACCTCCTTGGCTTCCTCTACAGTGGTGGCGCTGTACGACAAGGCAATCGTTTCTCCAATTTCTTTCAACTTGGCACTAAAGATCTCACGATCTTCAGTTGCTTCAATGACTGGGATTTGCGTTCCCAACACTTCCACACCGGCTGCCTGCAACAGTCCGTCTCTCCACAATTCGACTCCAACGTTGAGGGCTGTCTGCCCTCCCATGGAAACAATGATACCATCTGGCTTTTCCTTATGAATAATGTCCATGACAACGTTGGGTTGGATGGGAAGAAAGTACACACGATCCGCGCTTCGCGCGACACTATCTTCCTGTTCCTGCGACGTTTGAACGGTAGCAATATTGGGGTTGATGAGAATAACTTCAATCCCTTCTTCCTTGAGGGCTTTGATGCATTGACTTCCGGAATAATCAAACTCTCCAGCCTGTCCAATGCTCAAGCCGCCACTCAGACTTTTGTATGTTTTGTGCATGGATGACATCGTGAGAAGGTGCGGGATGTCGGAATTCGAACTTTTCACAAGGGTATCGGAACGGCCCCTCCACTGGCCCTCTGGAGTGGAACTGTTTACACAAGAATGGTTTTGCCTGGTATGGCATTACCTTCATTTGAGATCTTGGGCATTCTGGCTGTTAACTCGGGGCCGATCGGTGGGGGCCATCGGTTGGGGTTTACTGGTTTCACGGTTTCGGTTTCGTAATTTGAGTGTGTGGCCGCCTCTCATTTCCGGCTCTGGGTTGGGTAGGGTGGTCATTGTGATTGCGGTAGGCATGTGGCTCACGGCGTGCGCAGCCGCCCTTACTCCCCGTTCCGCCATTGGGTCGTCGTCATCCATGGTCCTAGCCGTTCTCCCTTTGTTTGTCGAGTCTCGCTTTTTGACTCATTCCCCATCGGCCATCGCGGCCATGTTTTCCTTTCCGACTATTTGGACCTTTTCGTGAAGACTTCGGCGACCGTTGCGCATGTTGGGTTCCGGCTCCTTGGGATGTTTGGCTCCTAGGCTTTGGTTTTGGACATGGCTTATTCATTGCTTCATTTGCTGTTCGGTACCCGTACTGTGAGAGCTATGTGATATTTGGAGTTTGCCCTTATCCATGCCGTGGCGCGTTTCCCACTTCCACTTTCCACGTGGATCATACTCTCTTTTTGTCGCCCGGGTTCCACTCCATGCTTCCCAGTTTTACAAGAGCACTGCGCGCTCTTGCAGCTGCCCCTGAGCGCGCATGGCGCTCGCCCTTGCACTTATAGAGTGTTGTTCAGCCATTGGTCTCTCGATCATGTTCTCGGGACCTAGTTTCCACTCCGGTGTGAGCCGACTGTCACGGTGGACTTGCTCCGCTTCGGGGTTCCGCCATGCCCGTTTCAGCACGACTTCGCCGACTCGTCGTGGAACTCCACAGGACCGGCTTTCATGGGCAGACCTGCCCTTGAGTACGCTGCTGATCTCCTTGTTATTAGAAGATATCATGGGTATCCAAAGCCGAGGTTTGGGATAGATATGAATGACTGAATCACATATGGATACCCTTCCCAGGAAATTCAGTTATCCCTGATGGACTATGATCCACGGGATCTTTCCTGAAAAATCAAACAGCGGATCTCTCCGACCCCAATTTGCCCGTCTCATTCACATCCGTTGACGACTGCTTTCCGTGATTCGACGGATTGGATAGAATGACAAGCGAAGAAGAACTCTTGGAAGAGTTTTATCTGTAGTAGTAAAACAAGCAAGACGAATGGGAGGCTACTAGGAAATAATAATACAACTCTCCAACACAACTGGGGCATATAGCATACGCGTAGCTTAGTATGTGGCAACACAGCTGGCGGCACGATGGGTAGACTAGACAACCACTGCCAACATGGATGGTCGAAGGGATGGATGAAGAGCAGACGATAAGCATCAATAAATCAATCAATCGGTGCGGAGTGCCAAAGACATCTCGTTCCCTATTCGGGCACAAAAGATCACTCAAAAGCTATTCGATTTATGGTGGTTGTGGCGGTGGAGTTCGCTGATTGGATCGCGATGTTATGACAGTATCCAGGGTGCACAAAAGTTGACAAAAGGGTGGGGATAAGGAAACGGTCGAGTCCAAAGACGACGAGCTGAGCATCGCTGCAGTACAGGGATTGAAGGAGCAACGAGAGGCAGCAAGGTTCACGCTCGAGTCGATCGTACCTAGTACTCACACATAGTTGTTGACATGGACAAGGCTAGACATTGCAGACGTCGATGACAGCAAGAAAACTGGACTTTGCTGCGGAACATCTAAAATCCTTCCGCGCTCTTCATGCATCAACCTGGTATGTCGGATGGCTCCTCTGGAATGTCGTTCAGCGTCTGCTATGAAGCATGATAAATCTGAATGAACCAAGGATGATCTTTCTTGATGCTCAGGCACAATGCCAGCCCAGTGTGATGGGAGTTTCTGAAGAGTCTGCTGCCAACAGATGCATGTCAGAACGGAAGTTTCTGATGCATGCATCATATCATTCCATTGAAAGATCGATGGACAAACAATGCCAAGACGACAGGATTTTTCGTGTGCTCACTTTCCTGGTGTCCACAAGCTGCACGACTATCTTCCAGCAGATATTGATTGTAAAAGAGACAGTCCCTTGGTTACTATCTTGCGAGTGAACAATACGTCAAGATATCATGAGGATTTAAATTGCTGAAATTGTTCAGAGTATTCCCGACAATGTCAAGAAAATAGATATTCCAATAGACTACAGAAGGCGTACTGGCAGACAACATCGAGTTTTGAGAGCTGCATTGAGTGCCAAAACTCAAAGAAACGACAGCACTTGAACATTTGACCATGCAACTATACCACCAATATCAGATTGATAGAGATTCCAGGGACACAATATGCGGCCTTTTTTCCTCCGGGACATTGGAGGCTCTCACTGTTACTATGAAGAACAAAGCATCTGATGGTTTCTTAGTGCCATTTTTTAATGCCATTAAAGCAGCTGGGAATGCCTCAAATCTCACAAAGCTAAATTCACCTTGTTGGCAACCAACTGGAGTATAAAGTATCTACCAGGATCAGTTGATTGAGGTCTTGAAGACAAACACATCTCTGACACATGCAGATGTTTTTCATACAGGGTGTTCAGGCACTACATGTAGGAACAATGATGAGCTTTCTGGCAAATGGAAAATTATCAAATACTTCAATGAACTGAATCGCTATGGAAGAAGCGTTATGCGAGACCCGGATAAGTCTCTGCGGGATGTGGTTGAAAAGTTGGCGGCCTGCACAAGTCAATCCAGGCCTGGTTTGTCTGTGCTGTATGGTCTTCTTCGGGACTCCCCTGGAAAGTGGAGTGATCCAGTTGTGCAACTAGAGAAAGAGAAGGCACCAGCTGGGAACACTCCAAATCGTAAACGGAAAGCCAATTCACTTGACTGAGAAATCTTTGGACCTAGTGTGTTTTTGGGTTGCGTGACGCTCATTGCCGTGCGCGAATGTGACAACTAGTCTCAGATAACTTACTTAGACTACATGTTGACAAATAAAAATCAAGGACACTGTCATACCATAGTACCGGTACCTGAATGTTGTTGATTCAAAATTAGTCAAAACGCAACTTTGCAGATTACCGTGAAATCCCTGCTTGGCTAGCTAGCCGGCTAGTCCAACAAAAACATCTCTCAAATTTGCTGTAGATTCGATTTGTTCTGCATCAATGGTGCCAATTCCGATTCAATGCCTCAGGAATCCATGTCATATTTTCTCCCACGTTGTACACGAACTGGTTGTCCAGAGGTTTCTGTTCATGATGGAAGATGTGCTGATGATTGGGTCTGGCTGGTCGATACAATGGGAAAAACTGTGGATTGAATTCTTCTGTAACTCCATTGGGTCACTCCATGATAACCTTTTGAACGCAAAGAGCCAACAATACGTCGCTTTCTCTTTTGTGTGATTTTCCATGCCACATATATTTCACGACGTCCCCATGACAACCTTGGTTCCGGGCATTTTCAGTAATTTGAGTTGTTTTTCTCCCTTTCGAATCATGTATTCAATCTTCTTGAATTCGGAACGTTTGACTTGTTGGCATTGATGACGGAATTCTGTCCTGGCGTAGCCTGTGGTTGTCCGTTGCTTGGAATAGAGTAAGGGGCCAACCACAAGGTCGTTGGATGTCAATACTTGACGATCCTTCTTGATGGCTTCTCGGAGAATGGAGCGGTACAAACTCAGCACGTCCTTTTGCAGACCAGACAGTCTCTTGGTGGGAGCCATCATCATTATCATCATCTTCGTCTTCTTGTTACTTCAGAGTACCGGTACCGGTAGAGTGGGTTGCTGCATGATGAGTGTGGACTTCGGTACCGCTACACATACCAGTATCTTGGGTGTGGACCCATTCGGGTCCCGCGAAAGAAGAAGAAAAAAAGGAGGGGGGAGGGTTACTGGCCAATTGTGCGCCCAACTTCCTGCCCCTCTATATCTCGCATGCCGTCCCTCTATTTCCTTTGGTCCTCTCTGACGTCTAGCCCCCTTCTCGAAACAACTTAAAGTCTACTAATAATACAATACAATTGAATATTTTCTCGCAAGACCAATCTAAAATTCAGTCACGAAAACGCGGGCTGAACATGTGTTGTAACACTTAGTTAGGGTTGGAGATCAATCTCCCGCCCAGTTTTGAATTCGCGCATTCAGTCGAATGCTTTACAATTACACCGTGGATCGAGATGGCGAACACCACAAGCAATGACGGCCCAAGGCAACTCAGCCAAGCACAATGGCACTTTGTGTGTAAGACAAGAGGACAGGTGGAACTTAAGAGTGCTTCCTTTTTTGTTGGCAGGGACTGGCGGGATCTGAAACCAAAAGCAGGGCGCCATGACAGTAACCTGCTCAATGACGAAGGTAGGAAAACGAAACCAGAGGCCTTCGATGTCAAATCTGTGGCCATGTGGGTACCCCATCTGCTACTAAAGAACCATACGCCGCACTGCCCACATTGTAAGAAGAACACACATGTTCTAGTTTCCCGTGAAAGGTGGATTAACTGTCCCAAGGTTCTTTTTGGAGTACACCGACATCGGTACCTTGACACCGTTCTCTACCCATGCCAGCGATGCGGACGAAGATTTGCTGGCTACAACAAGCAATCCATGCAGTTAGACGCGAAGATCTACCACTCCTACTTCAACTTCTACCTGGGAAAAGCTTACGCAGTTGACGAAGAACTGTACCGATTCATAGTGGAGGCAGCTTCAACCGAGTCGACTGCCGCCATTGCCACCCGTCTTAAGTCTTTGGCAATTGATGCGTACCTTGCAGACCACGCCCTTTACCTTCAAACAGTGGGTCGCAAGCAAATTGATCTGAGGCCGCACAAGAAAGCCAAGTTAATGGATGATTTCATGACCAGAGCCAATGATGATATTGAGCTCCAGGAATATCTAGATATCAAGGCGACCAAAGAGAGAAATGTCATGAGGGCGAGAATGGCGCACAGTGTGGCCAAAGGGAAGTTCGAATCAGATGTGACATTCGAGTCACTGCTCCCATCGAAAGGCAACCGCAATGTTTTTGGTGCAAGCAATGTATTTCCTGGACTTGGTACAGTCAAAATCAAGTTGATGAGAGAAGGCGGAATTGACACAGTGAAGCAGCTACGAGACTGTGTGGTCGCGGACTATTCTACAAGGCTGCGAAAGATTCTTCCTGGATGGAAGCAAAAAGCTCATGATTATTATACCCATTATGAAGAGAAGCTAGAGGAAGCAACGCTAGATTTGCGAACAGCGGAAGATGAATTTGAAGATATCCAAGAAACAATACGGAAGCACAAGGAAGAGAATCCACCACCGCCCCCTCGTGCCCCTGCAATACCCAATCCTTATGCCCGTGGAAGAGGGCGAAACAACCCAAATCCTCCAGCAGAAGAAGAACCCGTGGATGAATCAAAGCCCCCTCCTTTCTCCAAATTCAAGGACAAAAAAGGGTATAATGGCAAGCACCTGAGCAAGCATCGAATCGACAGTGTTGTCATGTCTGTTTTCCACAACCGTAAAGAAATGCACTACGCTAAAAGCTAGTGTAAAGATCTTTCGAGTGTTTTGAGTTTGAGAGAATGAAAGTTATGAGAGAGATTAGAAAG